CATGTTTTGATGGGTAGGCTACTGTTTTCCCAGAGGTAGCCTGGAAACTAAATAAATCAGCGATTATATTAGATGTAAATGGAGAGCTGGGGAGATCACTCAAGTGGTAGAGCATAGGTGGTATGGTGCCGCCAAGCAGATCAATCTATACCTGTGAGGCGAGTCTATCAGCAGCCTGATAGAGCCTTCAGACTTCTAGATACCCCCAAATTGCTGCTGTGCCTCTGGCCAGACCCCAAAAGCTTGGGGCAAAGTTTACCAAGAAAGTAAACGGCCAAAAGTTAAGTATGTGGGAGACACACACACAAATCACCTCCAGCTCAGCTATATAATTGGAGACAAGGCATCTCTGGTTCCTGATCAAACTGCTTAACGACCATGATCCCAGAGACTCAGAGACAAATCTCAGAAACCAGCAGCTTTTGGCAGAGATGCGTCCGGTCCCCGCAATGGGCTACCAGTGCCGGACCACCTAGGGGAGGAAAGGATGTTGTCCCTCTGCCTGCTCCCCTGTGGTGGCTCAGTGGCCGCCATCTTCCAGAGGTCACTGGACAGTCAGGTTTGGACCCGCAGTGACGAGACATGTGGGGCCACACGGGATGTGGTGAAGCCAGCCCTTTCCTCCCCGCCCCAACAAGACCCCGAGTCACCACCCAAGAATGGCCTCTCTGGCTCCTGATCAAGCTGCTTAATGGCCATGATCCCAGAGACACAGAAACAAATCTCGAAACCCAGCAGCTTTTGGCAGAAATCCGGCCAGACCTCGCAGTAGGTTACTATCGCTGGGCCACCCCAAGGGGGAAAGGGTGTTGTCACTCTGCCTGTTCCACCTTTGCAGCTCAGTGGCTGCCATCCTCCAGAGGCCATTGGACAGTCAGGTTTGGGCCCACAGTGATAAGACACATGGGGTCTCATGGGATGGGGGTGGAGCCAGCCCTTTCCTCCCCAACCCAACGAGACCCTAAGTCGCTGCCCAAGAATGGCCTCTCTGGCTCCTGATCAAGTTGCTTACTGGCCATGATCCCAGAGACTCAGAGACAAATCTCAGAACCCAGCGGCTTTTGGCAGAAATGCGTCTGGTTCCCACAGTAGGTGACCGGCGCCGGGCCACCCCAGGTGGGAATAGGTTTCGTGCCTTGGCCTGTTCACCCTGGTGGTTTGGTGGCCGCCATCCCCCAAAGGCCACTGGATGGTCAGGTTTGGGCCCGCAGTGACGAGATACACAGGACCTCAAGGGATGGGGGTAGAGTCGAACCTTTCCTCCCTGCCCCAATGAGACCCCCGAGTCACTGCCCACGAATGGCCTCTCTGGCTCCTGATCAAGCTGCTTAACGGCCATGATCCAAGAAACTCAGGAACAAATCTTGGAACCCAGCAGGTTTTGGCAGAAATCCCTCCATATTTAATTGTTAAAATTTCGGAATTCCAAAATCGCTCAGCCACTACTGTGGCCACACGACATCATATGTTATTCACAACCAGCAACAGAAAACAAATTGTTCTACTGTTGCCTTTTCAGCAGATCTGAGTGTTGGGGTAAAATCCCAAATAATAACGGTGGGTCTAGTGTCGAAATATTTAATGTAATCAAAGTAGACAGAGAGTAATGTGGAAATCATCTGCCCCACAGGTAGGGGGAGGGTGTGGGATGGGGGTTATACTGGGTTTTCTGGTGATGGAAAATGGGCGCCGGTGAAGGGATGGGTGTTTCATTGTATGACTGAGACTTAAACCCAAAACCTTTGTAACTGCTCTCATGGTGATTCAATAAATAAAATTATAAAAAAGGGAAAAAAAGTGGTAGAGCATATACCCTGCATGTATGATGTCCTGGGTTTGATCCCTGGCACTTCATGGTCCCCAACCACAGCTGAGTGTAGCTCTAGTGAGCCCTAAGAAGAATGCAGTTAATCTCATGGCCCCTGAAAACTGCCAGATGTGACCCCACAACTAAAGTCAACAGAATACCAGTATTTAGAAATTTTTATGTGCTGAGATATGGCGTAAGACAAATATTTCCATGTTAAATAGTGAAAAAGTTCAGAAGCAGACCCACAAAATACTTCTGCTTGATAGGTGGACAAAGTTTCACTGCATACACCTGTGAAATGTGCTTGAATGGACTGCAGTTGGAACTTGTATGGATGAAACTAAATCAGGAGCAACTCTGAAACTGTATTTCTCATGGTGATTCAATTTAAAAAAAAAAAGAATCCCTGAATTACTAGATAGATAGATCATTCTGTTTTCATTACCCTGTCTTTGTAATATATTTCTAAATCAGAAAAGTATGAGACTTCAAGCCTGGTTTCTTTCTCACATATTATCTGGCTATTCATAGGGCAAATGAATCCATATAAATTTTTAACTATTTTTCTTTTTTATTTTCTTAAAAATTTCATTGAAATATTGCCAGGGTTAGATTGCTCCATAGCAGGAAGCCTATCTCGTGAGCAAAGGGGTGAAGGCAGCTGGAACAGAGAAGGGGTCACTAAGAAAATGATGGCTTGAGGAACCGGTCGGTAAGGAAGAAGTGTACTAAAAGTAGATAAAGGACCAAACATGATAACCTCTCAGTGTCAGTATTGCAAACTATAATGCCCAAAGTAGAGAGAGAATGGGAAATATTTTCTGCCATGGAGGCAGGGGGAGGGTGGGAAAGGGGGAATATACTGGGGACACTGGTGGTGGGAAATGTGCACTGGTGGAGGGATGGGTGTTTGATCATTGTGTGATTGTAACCCAAACATGAAAGCTTGTAACTATCTCATGGTGAGTCAATAAAATTAAAAAAAAAAAAGAGGGACTGGAGTGATAGCACAGCAGGTAGGGTGTTTGCCTTGCACGTGGCCAACCCAGGTTTGATTCCCAGCATCCCATATGGTCCCCCGAGTACCACCAGGAGTAATTTCTGAGTGCAGAGCCAGGAGTAACCCCTGAGCATCGCTGGGTGTGGCCCAAAAAGCAAAAAAAACAAAAACAAAAACAAAACAAAAACAGAATTAAGGTCAAAGAGATAGTGCAGCAGGTAGGGTATTTGGCTTGTGTGACGCCAACCAGGGTTTGCTTTATAGCACCCCATATCCAAGCCCCACCATTGTTATCCCTGATTACAGAAACTGGAGTAAGCACTGAGCACAATCAAGTATGCCCCCCCCCCAATAAAATGGAACAAAAAGCAAGCTAGAGAGCAGAGTTATAGCCTAAGAGTGATAAGCACTTGCCTTGTATACCACAGACCCAGGCTCTATCCCCAGGAATATATGAGGTCCTGGGACTGATCCCTGAGCACTGTGGGGGTATAGGGGTATGGCTTAAGACTGTCCCTCCTCCTCCAGCAAAGCAGAGCAAATAAAGTAAAAGATAAATCTAGATTTCATCAAAACCCATGACACTTTCACCTAATCATTCTATTAAGAGAGTGAAATGGGGCCCAGAGACAAATACATTGGGTAGGGCACTTGCCTTCCATAAGGTCAACGACCACATACGGTTCCCTGAGCCCCACCAGGAGTAATCCTGAGCATAAAGCCAGGTATAAGCCCTGAGACTGTCAGACAAAACCAAACTAAAAAGAGAGAAAAAGTGAGTGAATTGAATGAACGAAAGTGAATCCCACAGAATGAAGGTATTTGCAATATAAATAAAATGGACGCCCATAAGGAATCACATAACATGGCAAAAAGGTTGAACAGGTATCTCAAAAGAGACAATTGGTTACTTATAGAACTAACAAGTCAAAACTACATGCTTTAACTTCTAGAGTAACCTACTTTACAAAATATATAGCGGGAAGAACAGCAAATAAAGATACAAGCACTGTAGCACTGTCCTCCCATTGTTCATCGATTTGTTCGAGCGGGCACCAGTAACGTCTCCATTGTGAGATTTGTTACTGTTTTTGGCATATTGAATACGCCACAGTAGCTTGCCAGGCTCTGCTGTGCGGGCAGGATACTCTCAGTAGCTTGCCAGGCTCTCTGAGAGGGACAGAGGAAGCGAACCCGGGTTGGCCACGTGCAAGGCAAACATCCTACCCACTGTGCTATTGCTCCAGACCAAAAGGAACTTAAACTCTTCATCCAGTCTAGCAAATGTAAAACACAAAAACCATCCATTCATGTTAAAAGAGCCAAAAATTTAAAACCGGTAACACCAAGTATCAATGAAGATAAGAACAACTATAACTCTTACACACCACTAGTAGGAATAAACATGCTACAACAACCCTGGAAGTATTTCTGACACTATCATACAGCCAACACTGGTATACATAACCCATAATCTAAGAATTTCATTCCAAGATATAAACCCCACAGAATTATGAAGTATGAATGTTAATCACTAAAATACAGAACACAGGTCATAAAATTCACAGCAACATTATCAATAGCTTTAAGAAAAATTGCTCAAACAATATCTATGGTGGACAAATAGACAGTTGTAGCAAAGAAAACACATCAAGATACTACTCATCAAATTCATAATTTCAAACTCACAAATTCACAACTGCCTGGCATTTTGCAAATAATGCAAAATTTTCTTTAGAGATGACAAGAATATTTTGGGCTAGACAGAAGTTGCAGTTGTAAGAGCACTGAGAATGTACTAATGCTACTGAGTTATACACTTTAAAATGGTTATGTTTGAGGGGCCAGAGAGATAGCACAAGGTTAAAATACTAGCCTTATACAAGGCCTACCCCAATTCGATCCCAGGCACTGGATTTGGTCCTCTGAGCACCACCAAGAGTGCGCCTGAAGTCAGAGCCAAGAGTAAGCCCTGAGCATCACCAGGTGTGGCACAAAAAACAAAATTTAAAAAAACATAAAAAGTTCACATTTGAATAACTAAGCACATAATTTTTTTTAAAAAAATAAAGTGGTTGCTTTGTGAATTTCACCTCACTTTTTAATAACGTCACCTCAAACACAACCTCAAGGAAACAATATTAGTAGACACTCATGGCCATAAATATTAAGTTATAATGCCAAACTTACCAACTGCTGTGTCACCATCTAACAAATTGTCATCTTCAGAAGTCTGAAAGTCCATAATAACACCTGCTCCATCTAAAAGTTCCTCATCACTACTTGCACTTGTTATGCTGTTGTAGCTGTTTCTATAGTAGCCTCTATGGAACAGCTGCTCAGACTCCATTGAGCTGTCTGATTATCTGAAAAAGGGGGAACAATTGTTTGAATATTTTCCCACACATTAAAAAAAATCACCTCATTTAACATGACAAAAGAAAACTTCTGATCTCTGTATTAAAAAAAATACTGAGGTGAAGGAACTGGTGGAGGGAAGAGGACAATGGTGAAGGGACTGGTACTGAAATATTGTATTACTGATACCCAATCACTAGTAACTTTGTAATTCACGGTGAATTGATAAAAATTAATTAAAAATAAAATAAAGAGAAAAATTTTTAAGAGTTCATTCACAGTAACAATAGCTAACTCTATTATATTTAGTCTTTCAGGATAAATTAATTCTAACTTTACAGCTATAAAAAAATGAAGTTGCTGTTTTTGAGGTACTGGCACACAAAAAGTGTCATGGCCAAGAAGTTAAAGTGGTGGAGCAGAAATCTCACAGATACAAGACCCCGAGTTGGATCCCAGCACAGCAGGTCTCCAAGCACAGCAGAGAGAAAGCCTCCATATAGGGCTAAGATGTCAGCACCCACGGATGCTCAAGAACCTCCAACGCAGCACCCAGTGTTACTCTAGCAATCAGCCTGGGTCAAAGACATGCCAGCCACGTGCCTTCTGTCTCCTGGCCTCTAGAAGAACTGGGTTTTTAAGGAAGAAAAGAATGTTTTTTCCTTTTTATGAAAATACATATAAATGAAATATAGTACAATATGATTAGCAAAACAGAGAGATGTACACAGGGAGATGATAAGACTGAAAAGTAATAAGCATGCTGCCTACTTGCTCTTAACACCTAAGAGCGGAAATGTTTTAGCTTCTATCTGAAGGATTAGGATATGTCAACTATGTTATAAGATGATAAGTCAATACTCGAAAGAGTAAGTATGTGGAAAAACAGAAAATCACAAGAACAATCTGCTTAAGTAGCTTACATAAGAGTGGAGGACAGATAGAACCGGGAGAAAAAGGGCCATGGCCAGTCAAGGGAAGGGTTCCTGTGTTCTCCTAAGGAACTTGCATCCCATGTGTGTAAAAATAAATCATTGTGAGTTTTAAAAGAGCAACCACATGATGAGGTATGCATTTCAGCCAGCCTACACTGCCAGAAGTGTGGAAAACAGATGAGAAGGGCAAGAGACAGAAACACCATGGATAGGAGGAGATCATTACCTTACGGGATGGCAGAAATAACCTAAGACACAGTAACAGGGTGAAAAACATTTTTGAGAAATACTTAAGAGGGCTCCGTAAAAAAAAAATAAACTGTTGCTATATGGTAGGAAAAAAAAATTAAGATATCTGCTAAGATACTGAGCTGACTCATTGAAGCAGCCAGTTGGCTGACTGAAACTGCTAGAGAAGGGTTAGGGGTGCAGACAGATGGTAAAAAGTACATCCCTTGCATGCATGAGATCTCTGGCAACACCAGAACAGAAAACTTGTTGGAAGAAACAAAAGTTCAAATTCTATATAGCTTATTATAGAAGTCCAGACAAGAGTGTTCTTCTCAACACTAGAATTACAATTCCAGACATTGGTCGTATCTAGGTCATCATCATTCTAGAGGGTCGACTGACAGTCATAAAGAAGGACACCCTGAAAGTGTGTGGCTCAGGGACCCATAGTTTTTAAGGTATGTATGCTAATTTCCACAGCTCCCAACAAAGCTTTGTTTCTTTTGTAAAGGAGGCTGATAAGGCAAAAGCTAAGGCCTATGTCTAGCTCTGAAAAGTGTGTCAGTTATCTAATTGGCTAGCCGAGAAGCAATTAGAAAAGCAAGCACAATCTAGGTGAAAGAAAAAAAATAAAATCCCTAATGTCAGCAACTCTAAAGATGGACAAAAGTCTCTAAAGCAAATGCAGCACTGTCCTTCGATTGTTCATCGATTTGCTCGAGCAGGCACCAGTAACGTCTCACAACAAATTGTGAGACTTGTTGTTACCGTTTTTGGCATATTGAATATGTCACTGGTAGCTTGCCAGACTTTGCCGTATGGGCAAGACACTCTCGGTAGCTTGCTGGGCTCTCCAAGAGGGGTGAAGGAATCGAACCTGCGTTGGCCAGGTCGGCTGCGTGCAAGGTAAACACCCTACCCGCTGTGCTATCGCTCCAGCCCTAAAGCAAATGATAGGACACAAAACTATGAATCATCTAGATAGTTATATATAAGAAACATTTTCATATAAATATTTAAGAACTATATATAATAAATTCAAGTGAAAAGATTAAAATGTGACAATGAATTTTAGCATAGTAATTTATTTGCTAACACACACAGAACTGCATCTATCAAATTATTTAGAAATATATACCCAATTTTATATATATCCACCCGCGTAGCAGAGCCTGGCAAGTTCCCCATAAGGTATCCGATATGCCAAAAACAGTAACAAGTCTCACTATGGAGATGTTACTGGTGCCCGCTTGAGCAAATCGATGAACAACGGGAGGACAGTGATACAGTGATACCCAACTTTATTGGTTAGTGTCATAGTTTAATGGTCTTACAGCTTTTAGTAAGCTTTACCAAAAATTACATTATATATTAACCTCAAGAGTGATGTTACAATATTTTCTTATAAATGACTACATTTTCCTTTCATAAAAGCCCGTACATGACAGATGTCACAGAAGACATAAGAACTGCCATAAAATCTCAAGGAAAAAAATACATTTTACTGTAATTGATGATAAAAGCTTTTTGAGAAACACACTTCAGTTGGACCCTTAAAAATTATGATTTTATGGATCAGAGATGGGATAAGAAGTTACCTGAAGAAAAAGTATTGGAATGAATCAACAGAGCATAGTCATCAACAAAAATATCTTGACATGATTGTTGGGAGGAGCAGGGGAAAGGTAAGGAGAGAGAGTAATGTGGAAATCATCTGCCCCACAGGTAAAAGTATCTGCCATAGAGGCAGCCTGGGGGTAGGGCAGGAGAAAAACTGGGGACACTGATGCACTGGTAATGGGATGGGTGGTAGAATATTTAGGACTGAAACCTAATCATGAACAACTTTGTAACTGTGATTCTCACTGTGACTTAATAAAAAAAAAAAAAAAGACAAGAGTAGTACACACAGAAAGTAAGTCCAGAAAATAGTGTTGTGACAAAAAAAAAAAAGTTTAGGCAGTAAAGCACACTCCTGTCTAAAACTGAACTGGCTAATGGAATAAAAAAGGTTCTTGAGAAAACCTGAAGTAAACAACATCAACATCGAGTTCGGGGTCCACGCCCCGGAAAAAAAAAATCAGTAACTTTCTCAAATTTATACTACCAGAAAAAGCAATCACACGCCATATAATAATAAATCACCATGAAAGTTAGGCTGGGGCATCACCTTTTTGTTTTGTTTAATTTTATTTTGGGGGCACACCCAGCAGTAGTCAGGGTCTACACTGGCTCTGTGCTTAAGGATCAGGGAACCATACATGGGGATCAAAACAGGCTGGCCACATGCAAGGCACTGCCTAAACCCCTATATTGTCTCTTCCAGCCCAAGACACCACCTTTAAGAAGAATTTTTTCTGGTACAAAGTGTCAGGAAATATATAACAATGAAACTGATTTCCCTCCAAAATAACATTTGTTATTTTATCACTGGGCTGGAGAGATAGCACAGTGGTAGGGTGTTTGCCTTGCGCACAGCCGGCCTGACTGAGCCAGGTTCGATTACTCCACCCCTCTCAGATAGCCCTGCAAACTTACCAAGAGTATCTTACAAAACGCACAGCAAAGCCTGGCAAGCTAGCCGTGACGTATTCAATATGCCAAACACAGTAACAACAAGTCTCACGATGGAGACGTTACTAGGCCCGCTCGAACAAATCGATGAGCAATGGGAGGACAGTGCTAGAGTGCTATTTTATCATTAATTCATTATGTCTACTTAAAGTCCAAATTTGCTGTAATATAAAGAGACAGACATAGGAAGGTCCAGGGAGATACTCCAAGTATTGGCAAAATAAAGGCCCCTGAAGGATTTGGGCATCTGGGGTAATGGTTCAAAGCATCAGAGTAAATGATTTACATATAGGAGTCCTGGATTTGCTCCTTGGCACCGCATGGCTGCTGAAACACTGTCAGGGTGACCCCTGAGCAATAATCAGGAGTAGGTCCCCTTACACCAGTGGATATGACAAAAAATACACATGTAATAAATATACCACATACATATTAGGTAAAGTAGTGCCCTACAATTTTTCTAGACTCATAAAAAATTTTAAAATCACCAAAACATAAACCTTAGATGATTTTTGAAAGAAAACACATATATATCTAAGATTGGTATAAAACAAGAAGAAAAGGTAAAGAATAATCCAACAGGGGCTGGAGCAATAGCACAGCGGGTAGGGCGTTTGCCTTGCATGAGGCCGACCCGGGCTCGATTCCCAGCATCCCATATGGTTCCCCAAGCACCACCAGGAGTAATTCCTGAGTGCAAAGCCAGGAGTAACCCCTGAGCATAGCTGGATGTGACCCAAAAAGAAAAAGAAAAAAAAATAGAATAATCCAACAAAAAGGTGCTATGAAAGACTGACCCTTGAAAACTAATTTTCATGATTTTAAAAGGTAGAAACTGTATAACTACTTCCCACAAAAGCAATAATGCACTTCTTTAACATGGTTTCAGTCAATGACACAGCTCATAGGCACATCAAGGAATCTCTCCATTATTTCAGCAATTCTCATGGGCAGTTTCCTGCCAGGGTTCATACTCTTTATTATACATAACTGAAAAGCATTTATTTTAAAAAATCAAAATGAGTCACAACTAAAATTTTATATATGCATGTGGGTGCATTAAAAAGTACTAGGGTAGTAAGATTAAAGTGTTTCTAATAACCATAATTTTCTAGGTTCTAAAATTTAGCTCACTTTTCAAATTAAAAAATTCAGTGAACCTTTGATGCACTCTATCTTGTGAGCGCACCCTTTAAAAATAAGTGAGCCTATGGTGTGCTTTCTATCTCTCTCAACCTATCTGCATCCAACATTTTGAGATGTCTTAACTGTAAGATTTTTGCACAACCACTGAGAGCAAGAACTCTGAAATCATATTGAGTAACACAGCACAACTGCTGAGAGCAAGCACTGAAATCATCCACTCAAGCTTTGCTATAAATTCTGACATTTACTGAGACCATCAACAAGCAGACTAAATCCTCAATGCCTCAGTTTCTACAATTGTATAATGGGAATAGTAGAAGTGCCTATTTTTATGTGGTTGGTGTGAGAATTCCAATAATGCACACAAGCCACTTGTAAAAGATCCTGAACCACTCAATAATTAGTCACTCTTATGCTATAAAACTTCATTTCAGATCCCTGCTGACAAGTTTGACAACAAAGTCAGCTGAAAGTTCTACCCAAGAATTGATGTGGTCAAACCTCACAGAATACTGTTTTGTTATCTGAGCCACCACCATGATCAAATCTAGCTTCCGGAGCAGTCTCAAAATGATTATCAACATCTTAGGATGGGGAATGGACAGTCTGTCACCAACATGACCTGGACAACAGCCAATTTACTCACATAAAACCAGAATCTCAGTTAATCTCTTCCCCCTAAACGTTACATATTCCAAACCAGGTTAAATATTTGTCATCCTCACAAGCAATCTATGCTGAAAACACATTGCTAAAACACAACCAAGTCAAGATGCAGGAAATAAATGCTCATATTGATGTCTTAACATAGTATGACCCAGCTTTCAGACAGAGAATCAAAGTCTCCAAAGAGAGTGGGAGGTAAGGTGTAGGACAAAGACACAATCTATCAGAGATTCTGCCAACAGTGACTGTTCCAGTTAACCAAAGATCATCAAAGCACACTTCGTTCGAGAAAATATCTGCAGGCCACACACATGATCTTCATGCCAAACTACGTAAGGAGACAACAAATAACTGCACCTTTTAAAATGAAAATCAAAATAAGAGCTTACATTACCCCTTTAATTCCCACAGTTACTCCTGGATTACGACAGGCATTATTTTCTTTTCTTTTTTTTTATTTTTTTTTTTTGTAGGAGTACTGCTATTTATTCAGCCACTGATTAGCTGATTGAATTGTGCATGAACTCCGCCTTACTTTTTTTTTCTTTTTCCATTTTTTATAATTTTATTTATTGAGTCACTGTGACAGGCATTATTTTCTGGGCACTCACCATAGCACAATGTCATAAAAGTTGGCTCCTAAGCTCGATTACTTCTATACCAACCTCAAGAAAAGAAATTATCTTCTAACTCTTTGGAGGAGGAACAAAAAAGCATTTCTGGAAAGATTCAACAATTACCCAAGTCACAAAACGCTGCAGTACTAAGTGCTTGCTGGAAGAAGTTTAGTTTACAGAACTTCTGAATCACACACCAAATAGGTAAATATCTCTTTATATACACAACAGGATACGTTCACTGTTAATTCAATTCTCATAAAAAAAAAAATTTCCCGCTTCTCCCTACCCCACCCACCCCCCGAAAAAAGAAACTCCGTGTAACAAGCCTAACATATATGTAATCACCTTCTATGCTGTTTTTTTTAAGCACATCATATACAAAATTAATTTCTGAGATTTTTAAGTTGTCCCAAGTTCTGGATCAAAACACAATGTACGCAGACACACATAAACCATGTCCTGCTCTAAGCATAAATCCCAACCGAAGACAGAAATCAAAGAAAACAGCAAAACAAAAACCGGCCAAGTCCGGGCCAACTGAGTGAAAGGAAAACCCATTCTGTGTCCAACATTTTTTCTTTTTCTTCCAAAAACCGGTTCCCTTCTAGCCTAAGGCCCCTGGGTGGTTCCTGCAGGAAATAGGGGAGATCTTACACGACGCCCAGGGGGACGCACCTCCTCGGGGTGGCTTTCACATCACGTCGCTCTATTTATTACACAATCCACCAAGCCGGGTGTCCGGGCATCGCCGTGGCCCCCCGCAGCCGTGAACATGACAGCTAGCGAATCTGCACACAAAGCCACTCACCTTGCAGCTCAGAGGCATAGCAAAATCGGAGGCTGTTTGCGCTGCCTTTGGATTCTGCATCTGTTTCAACCCTGGCAACCTAAGCTCCCCGGGAGCTCCACCTGAGGCCAAGCTTGACACCCCAGCCAGGAACGTCTCCTCTGAGACGTTTGTGTTGTTTTTCTACGGGCGAGTTACGTTAATTTTTGCCAGGTGGGGGGACTTTTTTTGGGGGGGATGGCCGGGGGGGGCCTCCTTCCAACTCGAGTGCTGCCTTCAGTGGAATCCGCTTTGGAGGGCCCTCCCGTTAACCCGGCTTCCAATCAAAACGGAATCTGTCTCCAGCCTCACTGGTCTATTCAAACGCGCCAACTGGACCCGTTGGGGAAGGGAGTCGAAATCGCGGCCCTCAGCCCACCACAGCCTCCTCCCTCATCACGCAACCCGAAGGGTCGGGCCGCGGGAGAAACGGGGACTGTGAGGAAGGGGGTCTGGGGGGGGTGCCGGAGCGCAGCGGCCCCGACCCACCGGAGGGGGGGGTGGAAGAGAAGCGGCGGGAGTCGGGAGCCAGACGGGGACGTCCCCAGCGTCGACGCGTGACGCCACCGCGTCGGACGCGAACGGCCGTTCGGCGTGCGGCCGCCCTGGCCCCGCCCCCTCCGGCCGCAGGGCGGAGCCGCTCGGCGTTGATTGGCCCGGGAGGGCGCGGTGGGCGGGCCTCGGCGGCCGGAAGGGGGAGCGTTGCCAGCTGGTGCGCTCCGGGCCGCGGCGCCGCCTGTCGCCTACTCCTGGCCTTGTCCCCCACGTCACTCACGCGTTGCTGTTTGCCCCTCTGGTGACCTCGCGGAAGGAAGGACGTGGGAGGCGGGCGCCTTGGGGGGCAGGCTTGTTGCCCCGCTGCCGTCGCGCCCCCTCGAACGCGTCATCGCGGAGCTCCAAGACGGCGCCGGCGACCTGACGACGGCGTCCGGGAACGGCGCGGGACGCACCGGCAAAGCCTCGATCGCTGAAAGGAACCGCCTGCTGGGAACAGGCGAACGCGGGTTCCGTGAACTTTGGTCCGAGCTGATGTGGACCTGCGGATTTGGGGGAGGGCACCCACGTTCCCCGGGCGGATTTTTTGCAGATCGCGGGTCTCCCTCGCTTTAAGTGCCTAACACACGTGTAAAGAAAATTTACTTATGTGGCGTTTTCAAAAATTAACACCAGTGGAGAGAACGTATAAGCGGAGGGTGCCACAGGGTTTGAGCGGAGTTTCTTTCAGTCCACAGTTGCTGAGTTCCCAGGGGAAATAGTCACCTCTTTCGTTATTCGTCCCTGCCTATGTGGTACGCCCAGGCAACAGTAATTGCTCAAGAAAAACTGCACTCTCTTTGGCAAGGATCGTGAGCAAAGGAAACTCTGCCAGGAAGTTGACGTTTGCGTTTCCAAAAAATGGCATACAGTTCCAGGTAGAAAATTACGGCCAGAGAGGAAGAAATACAGAGCGAATGCAAAACCGAAACATTTTCAAGTCCCAAATTAACTTGTTCCTAATAGCCACAGACCATGGACGTGACAGTCACATAGTTTCAAAACAATTCTGTTTTATTTGCTTCTGCTTTGTCTTAGCCACTATTGAGGCAAACCCAGTATTTTAGTATATTCTTTCACCCAAACTTCTAGCAGTAGGATGCAAACGTGACATATTATCCCCACTTTGACACTGCATTTCCTAAGATCTACTTCTTCAGTAACCATGTTATTATTACAGGTCAGAAAAAAAATAGCAATTTGTCCCTAATAGCTAATAACCAATTTTTTACATTTCATCAATGTAATTTTTTTGCTTTTTGGATCACACTGGCTATGCTCAGGAGTTACTCCTGCTCTCCACTCTGGAAATACTCCTGGCGGTGCTCAGAAGACCATATGGAATGCTGAGGATCAAACCTGGGTTCAAGGTACACTGCCCTACCCACTGTGCTATCACTCTGATCCATAATCTCAATCGTTTAACAGCCACCTAGATTTTCATGATACCAATGTTTTAAAGAAACCAGGCATGTTGTCTTAAAGAATAGCACACTTTAAAAATTCTTTTTTTAGGGGCTGAAGAGATAGTACAGTGGGTAAGGCATTTGCCTTGCACTCACCTGACCTGGGTTCAGCCCATGGCATGTCATATGTTCTCCTGAGGACTGCCAAAAGTAATTCCTGAGTACTGTGTCAGGAGCAACCCCTGGGCATTACCAGGTGCGACCTCCAAGAAAAATTTGTAACAGAAGTTCATATTTAGGGGTCAGAGATAGTACAGCAGGTAGGCCATTTACTCTGCACAAGGCTGACCTGGGTTTGATCCCTGGCATAGATATGGTCCCTCCAAAAAATACTTTATAAAATAAAAATTTGTTTTTGTGGGCCAGAATGATAGTACAGTGTGGAAAGGTTCATTGCCTTGCACACAATAGACCCAGATTCTATCCCAGCACCACATATATTCTCCTGATCCAGGCCAAAGAGTGATCCCTGAGCACTAGCCAGGATGGTTTAAAAAAATTATTTTCGACTGTAAGATTAATCCATAAGTCTTATTGGTAGACCCTATCTCCCAAAAAAATCCTACACCAAACACTACCCGTAACCTAGAAAAAGTGACTTTATTTGAAAATAGTGGTCAATGTTAGGTCATTAGATGCACCCTGATTTAATAAATTATGACTGGTATCCTTAATAAGAGACAAAGAGAGGACATACAGGAAGATGGCCACTTGAAGATGGAGGCAGACATTGGAATTATGTTCTCAAAAGCCAAGGAACAAATAGTGCTCCGGAGCTGCAAAAAGCAATGAATTCTTCCCAAGAGCCTTTGAAGAGAGGATAACCTTACTGACACCCTGTTTTTCAGGCTTCTGGAGCTGTTTTGTTTTAAAGGGACCACTCCCAGCAGAACTTGGTTTTGCTCTGCTTCAGTGCTCGAGGCCATCCACCAGAACTACAACCCAGCAGCATTCTAGGGTCTTTGAATCAAACTCAGGGCATTCAGGAGTGATCCCTGAGCACAGAGCCAGGAATAAGCCCTGGGTTTTGCTGGGTATGGGCCAAAAAGCAAATCAAGCCAAACCAACTCAGGACCATGCACTTGATAAGCATGTGCTCTACCACTTGATTTACTGGGGCAGACCCAAAGCCATTGTTTGAAACCTCTTTGGCCTGTGTGACCTTGTTATAGCAATTTTAGGAAAGGAACACATTGTCTTAAAGCAGTCTTGAAACAATAGAGAAAGTAAAAGAATGAAAGTTGATAACATGGGGTTCAAATTTTATACCTTAGCACAAGATAAGTCTATCTGGGTTACTTTTTCAAGAATTCTTAAGGAATATAAAGAGTATAAAATGGGCATAGATGAAAGAAACTTTGTTTACTAGTCCTATTAAAAGATTCCCACCTTTCAGTCCCAACGACAGGGCGGGGCAAGGACACAGAGCACAGGAATACCTGTTTGGACTTGGTCAAATATTTTGACAAGGGTTTAGGGTAGAATATACTAGAGGTGTATCACGTTATTAGAATTCCAGAATCACAAAGAAGCTCAGTAAAGGTTGAAAAAAAAGTTTGTTTTACTTCTGGGAGAAAAGGGAGATCCAGTGCCCCAGGAAACGAGTAAAAAATATTGGAAGTGAGTTTTCTGTTAAGTGTTTTATATGGGGTGTGCAATAGAATCTTTTCTATTTTTTCCTTCTCTCACATTTTTATTTTGCAGTGCAATGGTCTTTTATTTATTTATTTATTTTGCTTTTGGGGTCAGTGCTACAGTGCTATACATTTTTATAAACTGTTATACACTAAAGACAATTTTGCGAGCCCTCTAATAATGCAAAAGCAATGACTACCTGATTTATATACATTTTCCTATCATCAAGGAGCATAGCAATTTATAAGCACCAATATTAAAATTCTAGTTTTAACTCATTGTTTTTGAGAGCTGCGTATAACAAAAAGGGTTTCAGTTAGAATCTCATGACATTACTTTGTTTATGCCTTTAAACTGCAATCCTTGCTTTCTCACTGTTGTTGAACTGGGAGTACTCTCAGACCTAACAGGAAGACATCCTCAAGTCCCGAGCACGTGGCCCAGTCACATCATGAAAGCTTATCTCTTCTAAGCCAGCAGGAGAATTTCTTTTGCTTTCTCTTAAATCTATGACTTCCTTTAATAGGTCTGCTACTGTGGAGCGATAGCACAGCGGGTAGGGCGTTCGCCTTACAAGCGGCCAACATGGCCGACCCGAGTTCGATTCCTCCGCCCCTCTCGGAGAGCCCGGCAAGCTACCGAGAGTATTCGATATGCCAGACACAGTAACAACAAAGTCTCCAATGGAGACGTTACTGGGCCCGCTCGAGCAAATCGACGATCAACGGGAGGGCCTTTACCTTTACCTTACTTAAGGTAAGACCACCCATCATAATCTCACTTTTTATCCATGCATAGTCAACTCACTAGTAAGGTTAACTTGGAAGTGAACCCAGTCATACTCAATGTACAGCTCACATTCAGAAAGACTGTTGTCAGGAGTATTTCCTGAGTACAGAGCCAGGAGTAACAACTGAGCACCATTGGGTGTGACCTCAAAACAACAACAACAACAAACCACAAAAAGGCAATTGTATTGAATGTGGGAATCAGTCAACCCAGAATCAACTAATCTCAATTCGCCCTCTAGCCTCTAATAATTCACATGTTAAATGTACTCACCATTTCCCTACTAAATACCTTTTCTACAATGAATACCAAGCACAGAATCAGCTTAATATTTTGAAAAAAAAAAACTTTCAGGGGTGCTTTTGTGGGTCACATCAGCAGTGCTCAGGGGTTACCTCTGACACTGTAATTCAGGAATTACTCCTGGTGGGGTTCAGAGGACCACATGGAATGTTTGATCTATCAAACCCAGGTCAACCATGTGCAGGGCAAACATCTTGCCCGCTGTGTATCAAATCTAGCCCCAACACACACAGCATCAGTCTAGAACCCAAAACCTCATCTTGCGTTGGGTATTAACCCTAAGTGCTTTAGGCTTCATCAGTGAATTGCCCCTTTTCTTCCTTCCAGAAAAGCTTGTCATGCCCTTGCTAGCATCCCTTGTTTAGTTAAAGTTTATCGTTAACCTTTCCTTTGTATT